TTTTTCATTTTAGTAAGTACGAGGGCCGTTCAAAAAATACGCGGATTCTGCTATTATTTACTCTTACAGACGTCATATAATTATGAAATTTCAGAGAAATTTATAACTTACAAATTCCAATAAATTTTGGACAAAATTTCTGTATTTTAAAAATATTCTCCTAAAATTATCGCTGTGTTGATATCGCTGATGGAGAGGTACGGAGCACGACAAAAAATTTGAAACAAAAACATGCGGAATCCAAAATTAAACTCATTAATTTTCTATAAATCGCGATATTTTTCAACAATTTTCACATATGTATATTTATATTGTTCTATTATTATCTATTTAGATTTCTGACGTGATATTTGAAGTAATAACAGAATTATATTGATTTTTCTCCGATGCGATTCCTGTAAAAAAGACTTTGAAAATGACGTCTCCTGAATTGACGGAGCATCACACTTTTGTTAGATTATGTATAATGCTCGAGATATCGCCAACTTAGATCCCAAATATGCATAATAAAGCATGTAGTAAACTATGGTATTCATGACATTTGTCTACATATAGCAAATTGGAATTTTAGACCGTTAAACCACTGTAGAAAGGCTTTACTGGAGGATAGGGAAGAAGATTATCGACGAAAACTTTATCCGGACTGTAAAGAACGTGATTGTGAGTGACCAAAGTCACACTATATTTCATAAGTACCTGCAGTTTTTTTTTAAAAAGAATATGCTTTACTTGTTTTATAGAATTTAGGCTTGACGGGAAATGGTGTGTGGATGTTGAGTAGATAAGGTAACTCAAACTGTGCGGGAACTCTTGGGAAAATGTTGAGAAAATGAAAGCTGCTCATATTTTTTATAATGCCCGTGACGTCGAAGATTTTGCTGTTCCGTGACTAAATGATATATGCTGATAAATCATCCAAAATTGATATCAATTTATATTTTGAAATGAAATTTTGAAGACCATATAAGTAAAGATTCTTTTATATTATGTATGACAATTTACCCGATTATGTTGTCAAATTTTATTTCTGTGCAATATGTCCGTGTAATTTTTGAACGGCCCTCGTATTAATACATTAATATTTTAAATATATTTCAATTTGGAATCAAGAAACTGATTTATTTGCGTCTTGATTTCCTTGAGTGAAACCACATCCGAGCATTATACCAACGGCTTGTTGCAGATTAACCAAAAAAGTCAAATGAATAGTATTACACGTATGTCCTATGTAACACTACATCCCTTTGGCAGATTGTCTGAAATTTCTGTCCATTTCTGTCGAGTGGTTTAAAAGATTTCACTCTTACTATAACAGAGACCCAAGTGGGCTATAGATTAAACATATTCAGGCATAACATTTATCTTTATCATATTCAACTGAACAAAAATGTATAATTCAAATACAAACTCTTCGCAAAATATTGTATGTCATTGAACAAAATAAATCACATACTCTAGTAAGTCATTTCCATTAAAAAGGATATACATGTAGTTGGGTTAAACTGTTAATCTTTGAGAGTTTTTCTACTCTTAATATCTGAACGTTTGAAGAAAAAATTAATTACATGTAAAGTACTTTCAACTTTTCTAAAGAAACAGTATATGGGAATGAGAAAATAAAGGAGTTTTGGGGATAAACAGAAAGGTAATATTTTGTCAAACAATAAATTTTGACAGATCTGTCACCCTTTGACTTGGCTCATTTTCCACACTTGAAAAAAAAACACCTTTCAGAAAGAAGATACAAGTCCAGGAAATCATGGGATCTGCCATAAGCCATAGGGCCATACTCAAAAATGAGTTCTACAAACAATCAGATATTGGATAAAAATGTTACGGACATGTGTTTTAATTCAAAGGGAATATTTAAGTTAAATCATTAAGACTTAATCATTGAAAAGTGTCTTTAATTTGCTTCTTTCCGAGCACCGAGGACATTATTTATTGAACAGCCCTCGTAATTTAGCACCCAAGAAGGATGCATTTCATGAGAGCACTGGGGCTACAGACTACACCGTTAAATAGCTATATATATATATATATATATATATATATATATATATATATATATATATATATATATATATATATATATATATATATATATATATATATATAAAGGGTTTTAAATTTCAACTACTGCAGGTGGAACCGCATCTAGCTTGGTATGGGTTTTGGCTGAGACGAACCCCTCGCAGATACTTCCGTGTTTGTAAGACAAACAAGAAGTGTTTGTGAAACATGGTTGCTCCGGTATGACAGCTTATGGCAAAGGTTAATTAAAAGTTTTTCAAAGTTTCTCAAAGGCAAGACAAAGTCCAAGATCAAGGACAAGCGATTGAAAAATGCTTTATCGAAGAAAAGACTTGTCGTCGCAGTGAATAACCTGTGGAAATTGAAAGTCCAAGCATCAATCGCTCCAAAGTTGTGTGAAAAAGATTTTTAAAAGTTGTTCAAACTCCAAGGTCAAGGAATAAATGGTACAAATCTTAACCTTTTGAAAAGTTGATGCTAAGGGTTTCATTCTTCACAGGTGTATTTTTTACCCTTTCATGAACATAAATATTTCTGACCTTGACCTTTGAGATCGACCCACTATTAAAAAACATTTAAATCAACATTGGACATATTTTTGTACAGTTATTATTAGGGGCTTCATATTCCACAGTTGTATCCTTGTGCCAAAGCCTTCCTTAAGATACCAACAATTTTGATCTAGCAGTGTTGCAAAATACCTCAAACTTTGGCCATAACTTTTGAACAGTTGGTTGCTAGGGCTTTGATATTCCACATGTTTATGTCTCTCTTTGAGACATGTGCTTTCTTTGGGTAACAAATTTTTTATCTCGACCTAGGGAATTGACTGGCATTTGAGAAACCTTCGCCAAAAACTGTCATACAGGGGCATTAGTTTTTCACAGACACGTCTTGTTTTTTATAGTTTCTGTCCTCATAAAGTAAAAAGTAATACAAAAAATGTGAACACACTCCAAAGAATATCATTTGACTTATTGCTGCAGAGTTGAATATATCAAGGACAAGAACCATTTAGTACCATATTATAATGAAACAAGTTGTAGGCAGTGAGAAAAATTAATTTCGGTCTATCTGTCCGTCCGTCCGTCCATTCTTGTGCTTTTTTCTCACGCGGAGAGGGGGCAGATTCTCTGAAATAGCTTGTATCCTGTAATGATAACTAATTTTGTTAAATACACGTTCGTAAAATATCAAATACAGAAAGAAAAAAATAAGAAACAACACAATGCAAATTTTAAGCTTTTATTATTCGTGACTGGTTACTAGTATATTGGTTTTTATCGTAAGAAGCTTTTCTTCATTATATCATTTCTTAAAATAATGCCCTACGATTTTTTTAAAAATAAATAATTATCATCATGATGATACACATATATTCCTTGAGATTTGATGAGTATAAGCTAAAAACGTTTATTGATTACCTCATGGATTTTGATAATAATTTTTTTTCGTTAAAACTCTTATAATTACAGTTACTATCTTTCTCTCTCCACATAATCCTCCAGATTAGGAAGGTCTTTTACCACGCATGCGCTGAGCGCACTCCGGTACAAATGCATATTAGCAGCGTTGTACCTGAAAGTAAATCAAATATTTGGACTATGGCATATGAATATATATATTTTTAGGCATATAAAGTTTACAAATTCAAAAGAAATCTGCTAGATCAGACCCAAGGTTGTTTAAGTACTAATTATTAAGAAAACGGTGGCCTTGTTTCATATTTTTCATAAATTTAAATCACAAAAACGTGGATAATTCATTATTTTTACTGTACCAACATGAATTATCGTTTCTCTGGTTTGTCATTCTTACCATTTCTTTCTTATAACTATTTACTGGCACCAAACTCGATTGAAATTGTGACCCCCTGTTTCGTGTATAATAAGGAGATAAAAAAATTCGAGCGAATAAGCCTATGTCGCGGACTTACCATTCATCTTTGTTAGCACCATAACACTCAACATTGTAGATTGTATTAACCCCATTGAATCCTCCAATGACAAATATCATGCCGTCTAGGACCTGCAAATAAAACAAGAGGCCCAGGGGCCATATCGCTCAACTGAGCAATTGACTAGGAAAAAGCACATATCAGATCAGAACTGAAAGTTTACTGAGGGGGGGGGGGGAGGGGGCTTGAATTTTAACCCCCCAGGGGGTCATGGTTTGAACAAATTAGAATCTACACTACCTGAGGATGATTCCCTATAAATATCACTAAGCATGGCTTTGAAGTACTTGAAAAGAAGATTTTAAAAGGTTTCCCTATATATTCCTATGTAAAACTTGCCCCACCCTACCCCCGGGGGTCATGATTTGAACAAAATTGAATCTACACTACCTGGGGAAGATTCCCAAGGAGTTTCATCTTTCCTGTCTCAAGGGTTCTTGAGAAGAAGATATTTCCTATATATTCCAATGTAAAACTTTGATCGGCCATTTTCGCCCCACCCTACCCCAGGGGGTCATGATTTGAACAAATTTGAATCTACACTACCTGAGGATGATTCCACATGAGTTTCATCTTTCCTGGCCCAGTGGTTCTTGAGAAGAAGATTTTTAAAGATTTTTCCTATATATTCCTATATAAAACTTTGATCGGCCATTTTGGCCCCACCCTACCCCCGGGGGTCATGATTTGAATAAATTTGAATCTACACTTCCTGAGGATGATTCCACATGAGTTTCATCTTTCCTGGCCCAGTGGTTCTTGAGAAGAAGATTTTTAAAGATTTTTCTTATATATTCCTATGTAAAACTTTGATCGGCCATTTTGGCCCCACCCTACCCCCGGGGGTCATGATTTGAACAAATTTGAATCTACACTACCTGAGGATGATTCCACATGAGTTTCATCATTCCTGGCCCAGTGGTTCTTGAGAAGATTTTTAAAGATTCTTCCTATATATTCCTATGTAAAACTTTGATCGGCCATTTTGGCCCCACCCTACCCCTGGGGGTCATGATTTGAACAAACTTAAATCTACACTACCTGAGGATGATTCCACATGAGTTTCATCTTTCCTGGCCCAGTGGTTCTTGAGAAGAAGATTTTTTTAAAATGCCATTAATTTTTCTCTAATTCATAATTATCTCCCCTTGGAAAAGGGCGTGGCCCTTCATTTGAACAAACTTGAATCCCCTTTACCCAAGGATACTTTGTAGCAAGTTTGGTTGGAATTCGCCCAGTCATTCTTGAGAAGAAGATGAAAATGTGAAAAGTTTACAACAACGACGACAACGACGACAATGACAACGACGACAACGACAACGACGACAACGACAGACAACGGACAAATTTTGATCAGAAAAGCTCACTTGAGCCTTTGGCTCAGGTGAGCAAAAAAGGAAAATAACGACCACTGGATTATCATTTTTAAAAATCTCTCTTAACAACGTATGCAAAAAAATCACGCGCACTAACTAATCCAATGCTTGTATTAATTTTAAATTTTTAGAACCCAAGCATAATGTCTGCAATTTGGATTTATATTTCAAAAGTCCCGTTTTTTATGGAAAGTTGCGATAAACAGAGTAGGAGAACTATTCAGCAGCGTCTACAGTAAGAGAAAAAAAGGAGGAGCTTCTGTTATTTTATTAGCTCACCTGAGCCGAAGGCTCAAGTGAGCTTTTCTGATCACATTTTGTCTGTAGTCCGTCTGTCCGTCCGTCTATCTGTCTGTCTGTCTGTAAACTTTTCACATTTTCGACTTCTTCTCAAGAACCGCTGGGCCAATTTCAACCAAACTTGCCACAAAGCATCCTTGGGTGTAGGGGATTCAAATTTGTTCAAATGAAGGGCCACGCCCTTATTCAAGGCGAGATAATTGGGAATTAATAAAAATTTGGTGGTATGTTTTAAAATCTTCTTCTGAAGAACCACTGTGCCAGGAAAGCTGAAACTTATATGGAAGCATCCTCAAGTAGTGTAGATTCAAGTTTGTTCAAATCATGACCCCCGGGGGTAGGGCGGGGCCACAATGGCCGACCAAATTTTTACATAGAAAGATATTGGAAAATTCTTTAAAAATCTTCTTCTCAAGAACCACTGTGCCAGAAAAGCTGAAACTTATATGGAAGCATCCTCAGGTAGTGTAGATTCAATTTTGTTCAAATCATGACCCCCGGGGGTAGGGTGGGGCCACAATGGCCGACCAAAGTTTTACATAGAAAGATATAGGAAAATTCTTTAAAAATCTTCTCAAGAACCACTGTGCCAGGAAAGCTGAAACTTATGGGGAAACATCCTCAGGTAGTGTAGATTCAAGTTTGTTCAAATCATGACCCCCGGTGGTAGGGCGGGGCCACAATGGCCGACCAAAATTTTACATAGAAATATATAGGAAAATTCTTTAAAAATCTTCTTCTCAAGAACCACTGTGCCAGGAAAGCTGAAACTTATGTGGAAGCATCCTCAGGTAGTGTAGATTTAAGTATGTTCAAATCATGACCCCCGGGGGTAGGGCGGGGCCACAATGGCCGACCAAAGTTTTACATAGAAATATATAGGAAAATTCTTTAAAAATCTTCTTCTCAAAAACCACTGTGCCATGAAAGCTGAAACTTATGTGGAAGCATCCTCAGGTAGTGTAGATTCAAGTTTGTTCAAATCATGACCCCCGGGGGTAGGGCGGGGCCACAATGGTCGACCAAAGTTTTACATAGAAAGATATAGGAAAATTCTTTTAAAATCTTCTTCTCAAGAACCACTGTGCCAGAAAAGCTGAAACTTATATGGAAGCATCCTCAGGTAGTGTAGATTCAAGTTTGTTCAAATCATGACCCCCGGGGGTAGGGCGGGGCCACAATGGTCGACCAAAGTTTTACATAGAAAGATATAGGAAAATTCTTTAAAAATCTTCTTCTCAAGAACCACTGTGCCAGGAAAGCTGAAACTTATATGGAAGCATCCTCAGGTAGTGTAGATTCAAGATTGTTGAAATCATGATCCCAGGGGGTAGGGGGGGGGGGCAAAATGACCAACCAAAGTTTTACATAGAAACGTATAGGAAAATTCTTTAAAAATTTTCTTCTCAAGAAAAGCAAAGCTAAAATTGATCATATTAATATGGAAGCATCCTCAGGTAGTGTAGATTCATGTTTGTTCAAATCATGACCCCCAGGGGTAGGGCGGGGCCAAAATGGCCAACCAAATTTTTGCATAGAAATATATAGGAACATTTTAAAAAAATTTCTTCTCAAGAATAGCAAAGCCATGATTGGTCATGGGACTACTTTTAGATTTAAACTTTTCAATAATAAACCAATTTCTACGTTTTCCTAGCCACAGTGCTCAGGTGAGCGATGTGGCCCATGGGCCTCTTGTTTTTTATCTGATATCATTTACTTTCATTTATGACCAAAACATGTGAAAGACCAAGTTTCTGTCTTTTTGTCTCATTTTACCGATATTTCATATAGCACATCTATAACATGTTATAATTTTAGAGGTTTTTTGGGTATACCAGGGCATCAATGATAGTTGGAAATGTGGGATAATTTGCATAACGGGCAAATCCCGCTCTGCATGAATTATCCCATGTTTGGAAAAAATAGAGAGTGGTTCCTTATATTTCAATTTCATTGTAAAGTCAGTCACAAAGACGGACGTGCGAGATTAACATACATTTGGGCCTTCTTAGCTCCTGACCTTTTGCTTGCGACATATTTTACATTCCGGTTGAATTATCAAGAAATCAACTCATCTAACTTTCAAAGAGTAATCACACAGAAAACAAATATAAATGGAATATTCAAATATACTTTTCACACCATCTACCTGTAACGTTTTCCATTGAATATATTTGAAGGGAATGAGTGGGCATAATTACATTGACTTAATTAAAATAGGAGATAGCAATGAACTGGTACAGCATAAAACTTACTGTAAAATTTACAACTGCTGCGTTTTATACAAAATTCATTTAAATAAAATTACCGCGATTCCAAAATTACTCCTCGGACTGTGCATATCTGATATTGCCTTCCATCCATTTTTGATTGGACAATACTTCTCTGCAGAATGCATTCGGGCCACACCATTAAATCCGCCCATGGCATAAATTTCATCCTGATAGGCAATGACGCCTACGCCACTGCGCCTGATTCTCATTGGTGGAAGTTGTGTCCATTGATTAGTCTGGGGATCGTAGACTTCGGCACTATTTAGACATTCCAGTCCGTTAAATCCCCCGCAAATATATAATTTTCCTGAAAAAAAAATAATACATTTATCTCGAAATGGGATTCAACATTTTTTTAAAGAGTTTTTTATGCAATTTCTCGCACTTTTAACTAAAAACAAGATATGTTTGTGAAACACCGATGCCCCCATCTGCATATTATGTAAGGGTTGAATTTTGTTAAATGCAAGTCAAACTCCGAGGTCAAAGTCAAAAGTTTAAAATTGTACGTATCCAAAGAAAGGTCTTACACAAGGAATACACCTCTGAAATATAAAAACCATAGCCCTACCCACTGAAAAGGTATGGACAAGGTTAAAGGTTTGTGGACAGACAAAAAGGTAAACCTACGGACAGACGGGCGGACAGAAACTATATACCTACGAATCTTCGATTACAGGGGCATAAGAACAACCTAGCTAGTAAGTAGAACTTAATTTATGAGCTTATTATACTAAATAAGACAGTTCACAATCTTTTATTACCATTGAGAGAGGTGGCGCTGGCATCGCTCCTTTCTTCGTTTAGTGGGCTGATAAAACTCCACTGATTTTTGGCGGAAAGATATCGCTCCGCGCTATTTTGTCTGTTTCGACCATTATAACCGCCAATGGCGTAGATATATCCCTCAAGTACAGCCACACTGACGTAGCACCTGAACAAAATTATTTGAAACGCAATATTTTTTAGATGAATGGTGAGTGTTTTTAATTTCCATTTGAGAAAATACTATATATATCGTATATTACATGAGGTATATACCAAATACAAGCTAGGACTTATAATTATATACATACAATATGGAACATCTTAATAAATGTAAATGAATTAAAGATCTACCGGGTAGTAATTTTGAATTTTACCTTTTTGAGTTCATTGGCGCTACTTCTTTCCATTCTTTGGTCATCGGATCAAAGCTGCGCACGCTGTTGAAATATTCTACGCCATCAAACCCTCCTATGACGTAAATCAATTGATTTAGTGTCACGGTTCCGTGGTAGGCTCTTGGACCTGCCCCAAACAATAGAAAAGAAAAAATCAGTTGATATTTTCTCTGCATAAACTGGTGTTGAAAATTGTGTAGATTAAAGCTGGCACACGGATCATGAAAGATTTTTAAAGATATTGTGATGGATTTGGTTTTTCAAAAAAAAATATAGATAAGTAACATTTTTTTCTGAAACGAACAAAGAAATTAAACAATGTGTTCGTTTTGATTTTCTTTAAAACATACCTGTATCTGCTATATCACAAAAAGCCCAATGATCTGCACGTGTATCATATGTCTCTACAATATTAATAGGTGATGCACCACTCCATCCGCCAATGATAAACAAAATCTCGTGGGGCATGCGCGGTGCGGCGATATTGCAACTCATTATGTTCCCCAAACGAAGTTGGGGAACATATTGTTTTTACTCTGTTTCTTATTATGTTCCCCAAACGAAGTGGGGGAACATATTGTTTTTACTCTGTTTCTTATTATTATTATTTTTCTTCTTCTTCTTCTTCCTGGAACTTTTTTGTCCGGGAATGATCTTGTAAACTGTTCGTCCGATGTAGGTAAAACCTTTTTAGGGTTAGTAGACATGTTATGTAGATTTGCGGAATCAAGGTCATTTTGCGCGCACGTGCTTGCAAGAGCGTGAACGTGCAACACGTGAAATGACCAATATAATAGATATAGCCACAACTTTTCTATTTTTAGATGAAATGCTTTGAAACTCATAATGTGAGGATATATTAGTAGTATAGACATGACTTCATAGTGAAAATAGCAAGATCTCACGCGCATGCACGTGCACTTCCCTCTGATTGGCTGCAACTAAAGGCTCAATATCTTTCTTGTTTTTTGACGAAATCCTTTGAAATTTTGAACATAGCCATGCATAAGGATATCCTACAACATGAAATAAAGCAATTATCATGAAAACACGTGCATGCACGTGCGCTGCAATCTGATTGGCTGAAACTTTAAACAGCTATAACTCCCTTGGTTTTCAACCAAACAGGATGGGATTTGGAACAAAGATAGATATAATGGACTTCTACAAGTAGGTATGGTCACCATGCACATGCAAACACGTGCGTCTACATGTGCTGCAATCTGATTGGCTGAAACTTTAAACAGCTATAACTCCCTTGGTTTTCACTAAACAGGATGGGATTTGGAACATAGATAGATATAATGGACTTCTAAAAGTAGGTATGGTCACCATGCACATGCAAACACGTGCGTGTACATGTGCTGCAATAATCTGATTGGCTGAAACTTTAAACAGCTATAACTCCCTTAGTTTTCACCCAAACGGGGTGGAATTTAGAACATAGATAGATGTAATGGACTTCTACAAGAAGGCATGGTCACCATGCTCATGTATGCACGTGCGTGCACGTGAAATGAGTAAAATCAAACATACACTTGAATGAGCGTATTTTTAAAACAATTTTGGATTAAATACTTTAATATTCAGTGTATTAAAAATATAGATTGTGTAGACAAGATGATATGGTCATGACGCAAATGCATTCATATGTGCACGCGTGCAATGCTAAAGTTTAAATGATTTTTGTACACTTCTTTGTAAATGTTGTTAAAATCTCAGATGCATAGAGTTTGTCTTATTTAATGAAGCTTACAGGGAATATGGCACCGAAAGGGAGTTGGGGAGCGTTTGGGGAACATCTGTAACGGTTCCCGTTACAATTAGCACTAGTTATTATTATTATTATTATTATTATTCCTGGGAAAATTTTGTCCTCGAGTGATCTTGTAAACTACACATCCGAGTAAGGTAAAATGTTTTTAGAGTCAGTAGACATGTTATGTAGATTTGCCGAACAAAGGTCATTTTGCGCGCACGTGCTTGCAAGAGCGCGCACGTGCAACACGAAAAATGACGATTTAATTGATATCGGCGTAACTTTTTACATTTTTTATGAAATGCATTGACACTCATAATATAAGGATATATTAGTAGCATAGACAATAAGACATGGTCAAAATAGAAAGATCTCACGCGCATGCACGTGCGCTTCGCTCTGATTGGCTGAAACTAAAGTCTCAATATCTTTCTTGTTTTTTGATGAAATCCTTTGAAATTTTGAACATAGCCATGCATTAGGATATCCTACAAAATGATATATAAAAATTATCATGAAAACACGTGCATGCACGTGCGCTGCAATCTGATTGGCTGAAACTTTAAATAGCTATAACTCCCTTGGTTTTCAACCAAACAGGATGTGCTTTGGAACATAGATAGATATAATAGACTTCTACAAGAAGGTATGGTCACCATGCACATCCATACACGTGCGTGTACGTGCGCTGCGATCTGATTGGCCGAAACTTTAAATAGCTATAACTCCCTTAGTTTTCAATTAAACAGGATGAGATTTGGAACATAGATAGATATAATGGACTTCTACAAGAAGGTATGACCACCATGCACATCAATACACATGCGTGAATGTACGCTGCAATCTGATTGGCTGAAACTTTAATCAGCTATAACTCCCTTGGTTTTCAACCAAACGGAGTGGGATTTAGAATATAGATAGATGTAATGGACTTCTAAAAGAAGATATGGTCACCATGCTCATGTATGCACATGCGTGCACGTGAAATGAGTAAAATCAGAAATACACTTGAATGAGCGTATTCTTTAATACTTTTGGATTAATACTTTAATATTTAGTATATTAAAGTATACAGATTGTGTAGAAAAGATGATATGGTCATTACGCACATGCATTCACATGCGCACGCGTGCAGTGCTAAATTTGAATGAACTTGGTACCCTTCTGGATAAACGTTGTTAAAGTCTCAAATGCATAAAGTTTGTCTTATTTAATGAAGCTTACAGGGAATATGCCACAAAAAGGGAGATAGGGAGCGTTTGGGGAACATCTGTAACGGTCCCCGTTACAATTAGCACTAGTTCCCATTGTTTTTGGTTCATCCGTAGTTAGGTCATACAGATATTTCAAAGTATCTATAACTAACGGTCTACAAAATTCATTATCCTTGACATAAGGATGAAGTTTAACCTTTTCCACGAAATACCGCGTAGTTAAACGTCCAAGGCGCATCGTTTTTAATAACCGGGCTATAAAAACTTTCCTAGTTTCAGGATCATAATCGATCCAACGTATTACTGCGTCAAAGACTATTTTTTCGTTCCTTACATTCAAAGAGTCGGAACTTAAAATATGACACACTTCCTCAATGTCTAATTGCAAAAATTCATTACTATTCTCTACAACGTCTGTAATATAAATCATAAGGAAACGGTACGCTGCGTTCTCCAAATTTGGACAAAAATAAGTTTTTGCAAATCGTATTATTCCGATACAGTTTTCTGCTGTTAGCTGCGACATCAGGAAATCACAGCAATAACTGACGAGACCCAAAACATGAAACTGGTCGGCGGCAGGGAGCAGACGTTCTATGTTGTCTGACGTCACCGCAGCACTTCTAGTGTAGGCGTAATCTATAATTAGACTCATTATGTCTGCAGACACACCGGTAATCACGACTTCCTTTGTGTTCTTTTGAAAAAACTCTGACGTGAAGAGAGTTCTGAAATATGGACTACACGCAGACATGATATTTCGATGAATGGGAAATTCTCTATTTTCTACTTTGATAACAGCGTCACATAACTGTCCTGAATTACGCAATTCCCATAAAACATCAAAAGCCTCTACACTCAGGTTTCTTCTTATTTGACATTCCATTGCATCTGCTTCTGTTTCCATTCCTGATGTCTTTTCTTTTCAATTATGACGTCACAATCAAATGTCAATGGCAACGATAGTCGATGATTCATACGCACATTTAATTATGACGTCATAGTATTGTTTTTCTTTCTTTTTTTTTTTTAAAATCATATAGTTTCTGTAGGCCTCGGGAACATGAAACAACTCTTGAGAGCTTTAGTCTAAATATTGAAGAAGTCAAGCAGTCCAAAAATAAAATGCATTTTGTTATTGTGTCGCAAAAGTGTTAAAATATGCAAATTTAGAGAGTGAGTAAAACATTAATAAACATTTTAGATTACAGAAGTTTGAAAATTTGACTTAGTCCAAGTTTGTTTCATGATCCCGGAGTAAGGTCTTCCAAAAATCTTCTGGAATTCCCATGGATACCAATTGCGCCCTATTATTAATAGACATATAAAGCAAAATATTTTACGTGATACTTAAAGAAGTAATTATACTTGTTGTTTACCATTCACTTACTTAATATATCACACTGAACTTGGAACAAAAGACACAACAAAGTCAAACACATCTGTTTCACATTTGGAAATGTATGTTGAAACTTTATGATAAACGTGATGACTTCAACTTTTCTATGATCAACTTTCCTTACCTATGTAGCAATATACCCATTTTACCTGCATACAGGGTTTATATTTTCCAGTTTATTCGATACGCAAAATCACACATTATGTATGAACAATTTCTAAAACGAGACAAGCTATGGACAAATAAGTTGATAAAACAAGAAATTTTGAATCGCTTGAAGTCATCATTTGCAAATTCTATGGTCGATACAATGAATTTATCAGTAGGTACAATCTATCAATATGTCAAATGATGACTGACGTTTGTCATACTTATTGTGAAACCATTATACGCATATACGTGCGCCGGCAACCAATATCTGATACCCTTTAAATGCCATTTTAATAGGTTATTGACAACATAAAATTATATTCTTTTTTATGAAGAAAAGAGATTATTTTCCATCATCGTTTGAAAAGTGAAAAAAAAAATGGTCTGGTAGTTTTTGAAATATTCAAAAAGTTTTTCTCGGACAACCCTCATACATACTGAAAATTCTACGGATTTTTTCCTTTTACATCATCATGACAATGAGCACTAAGCGGGTGTGACCGGTCGAAAGGGGATGCTTACTCATTCATAGAACCTGATCCGGCCTCTGATGTTTTTAGAGGTTCGTCTTTGCTCTGCTCCCTATTAAATTTGTATATTAAATGAAATTTGCGCTTGAATACTGTTCGTTATCCCTCTAGATCTTTCATTTGGACACTTTCTTCCAAGTTTCTTCGTCAAAACAGGGCATGTACCTGTATGTACTAGAGCCTAAGCATAAAATAACATAATAATTTTGTATACGTAGTTGTTCTCAAATTTCAATTTTAGGAAGAGGGCAGAGCCTGCTGCGCAATCCTATTCTCTTTGATATCTGGGAATAAAATATTTAATTTAAATTTCAATTTTACATTTAGAAATGTTACTTTCGACATCATCAATAATCAATGGCAAAGTCACTTCAATTATTTTTACCTTGATTCTTTCTTTTTTCAAGTCGAATTGAATTTTTTTATAATATTGATTGCAGGTGAAGTGAATATTTCGCCTTTCTATAATGAAATTTTTAAGTGAATCACGCGAATCGTGTCATACATGTGTATATATACGAACCACACGCCTGTGTCACGTGTAGAGGTACTTCCATATCCCAGACGAAAATTCCAATGAAATAAGTTTTTTTTTTTATATAGATGAAGATTCTATGTTCAAGCTTTATTACACATTTTTTTCCAGTCTGGAAGCTAATATGAAATTGAACATTTCTATACTAACGCTTGTCAGTTTAGTTTCTTTGAATACCATAGCAGCTAATGTGATTTCTAAAAGGAAAAAAAACTTATCATTTATAATACAACAAATTAAAAAAAACACAGGGTGTAAAAATTACATTTGTGCCACTTTTATTTGTTAAATATTATTCAAAACGGTTTTTCTAAATGCTCTCTTTTTCAATGGATATTCTGGAAAAAAAATCTTGCTTTCCATATAATATTGCATTTTTATTTAAATACATCAGGTGTTAATGTTAATAACGCCATCCAAGTCTACTCAAAAGAGGAGGGGGGGGGGGTAAATGGGAAAACCGATACAAAGGGAGACCATACACAGAATTCGGATAACATTATTCCTTTTTGAAGTCATCCGGTACAAAAGGTGATTCAGCTATGTTGGAAAGTAGAAGTCT